TTATATAGTAACCTAAAACTAGAACCAATAAATAAATTATGTCATGTGTAATGTACTATTGCTCAATAAGTTCGAAAAAATGTTGGAACTTTGTCCTTCCTAATTACTACTTTTTACTTAAGGTGCAAAGGCAATGATGGAATAGGCAAATTCCTTTCGTATTTCAAAATTTCAATCAATGGGAGCAAGAATTATCTTGCTAGGTTTTGTCATAGATTTTAAAGTCATGTTTTAACTCATGCAATGTGGTCATAACATGCGAATTTTGATTTTACAAGACAGTAATTCACGGTTTTTTAGAAAAAAAGACATTAAATATAAGTAAAGAAAGAGAGCGAGGTTGTTTAATATGAAATAAAACTGTAAGTCTGTAACTCCATTTCTAATTCAGAATCCCTTAACCTTGATCTCGTAAAGTCAAATCAATTATGATGTATGATCAAGTTTATTTGAATGATCTTAGTTTAGAAAAAAAGAAGTCCAATATAAGATATCGAATCTCATGTTTAACTAAACAGTTAAGAACTTTAAAGTCAACAAAAGAGCTCTTATAAATCGTATAGAGTATAATTAGTCTACAAACCTTTGAAAAGACAACATACCATACTTAGGTTTAGACCGCACGCAATTTTTCGAAAGACTACTCATAAATTTGTGTTGACTTCAGAGATTGTAACCGAATTTCATCTATATTCATAGTAGAATTAGTCATCTTCTCCACTATTGACATCGGAGATCTTATTCTTGACTCTATTCACAAATTTTAGAAAAAATCATATGAATGCCGTTGATCCGAGTTTGCTTTACCAATTCTCAACTTGAACTCGTTGCATAGCAATGCTAATGCATGTTATTTTATACTCAAATAAGTTAATAATTAAAAGACTAAGTGCTTATTTTGAAAAGAAAAAAAAAATTATAATGTGATTATAATGAAAGGGAGTAATGAGTCTTACGAAATATGTAAATAATAATTAAGTAATAATATGAATGTATATTTAAAATTAATGTTTGATCTTTACCTTTAATTGTAATAAGATTCTAATGAAACCAAACAAAATAATCGTTACTTTTACGCGACAAGTTTCTTGATTCAAAACTTTTGTAGGCCACTACCAAAATTAAAAATCATCTTAAAAATTTAAATAATTTTTCTACAAAATAATGTTCCAAAAATTATTTTTAGTGAAGTACTAACTAGATTTCTGTTCTCTAAACGGTTGCTTTTGAGGTTAAAAAATTGCTTTTTGATTTATTTGAATAATTTTTTGAAAGTTTTAGACGAACTTTTAGAGAAAACTGATCCAATGTTATTTTATCAGGAAGTTCTCGTACAAAAAGTAAAAACAGAAGTAGAAATCCTGTTAAAATAGACCCTTAGTCGGTTGCAATATGTCTTTAGCAAATTTATGAAAGAAAAGTGGTTCCTAATTCGATTAGAACTAAAGCTTAGTTAATTCGAATTTTATTTGTTTCATTCGAGCTAGAAGCTCTAGAAGACAACATGTGGGAAACACAACATTTTAGTCAGTAACAAGTCCAACTTTTTCCTTTCCTACTATAGGAAATTTTGGGTGTACATAAACTGAACCCGTGACACACATTCACGAAATACATACTTGTGACTATTCTTGGGAGGTGCATCTCCTGCCAACTCATGTTGCAACTTCTTGTGAAAAAATAATTTGTTTATTTTTGGAAAAAAAAAAAAATATTTCAGTTTTTGTATTATCTTGTCTATGACTGGAATTTTTTTGGTTCATTTTCTGCCATAGAAATAGTCACACAGTCACATGTTATGTACAAGAATAGGGACAAATTTGGTGGGACAACCCTCACATGAATTCACAAAGTGACCTTTTTCTTTATTAATTTCTTTAAAAATGAGGTACTAGAATCGATAGTATAATGTGCTGGAGCCAGATTAAGAGAGATTAGCTGAGATGGTCAAACATGTTCGACTATCGGTAGTATTTACTATAAATATCATTACTCAAGATTATAAGATCAAGGCATAGCTTAAATGGTAAGAGCGAACAGAAGAAAAATTAGTTTTTTTTACCTTTCATATTCATAAAACAAATAAAAATATAGAATAAATATCAAAATGACCTACTATTAGTCGTTTAACGTAATTTAAGAACTATATTAGTTTTCTCTATAACGTTTGAATTAATATAAATATATTTGATAAATAATTTATTGATAGTACACCAAACTTACATAATGTAGTCTAATTTTAAAGCATTTTAAGTCGTGAATTTTTTAAAGTGGCGTGGTCCATTGTGACGGTGATATGAAGTACTAGTTATTCTTTTACAAAAGAAATCAACTTCGACTAGGCTAATCAATTTTCGCAAGAACGAGATTGTGTACTACCGAAAGAATTTCAACGTCACGTAGCTCTAACATGTTTGACTATGCATAAATTACTTATAAATCGTTTATAAATTAGCTAACAGAGGCTTGATCTAAACATCCACTCAAAAGCATGTCATTTCCAAATGTGTTGTAAGTCACAAAGCAAATCCAGTAATTATGACTTCCAATAGACAAAAAGTGTAACTATAAAGGTCACGAAATATTTCTGCTATATGAAAAAGTTCAAATTGAAATTCTTCTTGTCAAAAAGTGCCACAAAAGAATTAAAAAGGCATGAATGAAAGATTTAATATGCATACAAATTCTAATCTCAAGATATGAATTCCACTTAAAATATGTGGTAAAGAATCTTTGTCTATCAATCAATGGATTTGCCTCAATCAATTAGCATCAATTATATAACTAATTAATTTTCCCATAACCCCACAAACAAACCTAATTCCACTTCATTAATGAGACTCCGTGTTGATTGATATGCAATGTCGAAAATGACTCAACGATACAAACAACGTGTTTGTATTTTATTTTCTTCCTCAATAACGTTTAGTGTTATCAAATCCACCGTCCAAATATGCACTGCATTTCTTAATTCTTTTTACTATTTTGTTTTACAAAGAAGTATATAAAAAAAGATAGTATATTATGGTCCTGTTTGGGAGGGATTATCAAAATTCNTATGGCCCTGTTTGGGAGAGATTATCAAAATTCTACAGTAAATCAATTTTCATTTTCAACCACACATTCTTCAATAAAATAATATTTTCCATCACATCAATAATTTTTTTTTCTTTTTCAACCACACATTTCCCATCATATCAGTATTCAAAAATCAATTCTTCCCTCAAAAATCTCTACCAAACAAGCACTATATCAAGAAATTAATCTTACATCAGTTCCCAAAGAATTTAATTTGAAATTTGAAGAATGTTTTGGATCATCTTCTCATATTTCCAAGCTTCAAAACTTAGTTGTATAAATCTATAAAGCTCGTTGATCTTTCTCGAGTTCTTACTTTACATGTCTACCTCTTTCACCTTTTCTTTTACGTCCCATGTTAAAAGTTGAGAAAATTCAATGTCCACTGAATCAACATAAAAAGTGTCGCTTTCTTTATAGTCTTTTTATGCAACTATTTCTTTCACAAAGTCATTAACCTTGCAAATTTGTCTCACACACAACATAAGAAAGGATCACTCCTAGACGAAGTTCTCTTCACATCAATTGTCTACTAAAGTCAAGTGCAAAAACAAAGTGAAATAACAACTAATGTGCTCCGTAGTCAAAAGGAAAAAAAATGTTAAATTGATTTAAACTCTGATAGCGTATTCATACATGTTTTCCAAATTTTCTTTCTTTCTTTGTCTCTGTGCCTACACAAAAACTCACGAATTAATTTACTTATTAAGTTATTTATTTTTTAGAATAACACTAATTACCCGTACACGAGAGCTCATTTTTGACATAAACTTGAAAAGAAATAGAGATCTTTCTTTAAATATAGAGGCAAGTAATTTTGAATTGTGAAAGATTGAATTGAACCAAAGAAAAATAGACTTTTTATTTAACAAAAAAATTTCATAAAAAGAATGAAGTTAAAGAATTTGCTCTTAAAATTAAGGTTGTACCACTAGAAATTGTTAGATAATATAATAATTATAATTTAATGAAATCATCAAGACAGACTTCTCCTACTGTCGTCCATTTTCGGTCTTTTGTCTGGTTTATCCCCAATAAATAAAAACACACAATGAAAAGAACCCTAACTACCTCCACTTCACTCTTCCACTCAACCACCCATAAAATTTGGAAAAGAAAAACAACACAAAAACTATTTTTCCACTTCTCTTAGTACCCATTAAGAATACTGATACTATTGAGAAAATTTAAATGTAGCTAGCTGATCAGCTTCATTTCTTGATTTCTAGGTGGTGAAGAGTAAAAATAAAAATAAAATAGTAGCAGCTTAGAGTTTTGTAAAAAGTGGGGTTTGCCATTAGCATTTTGGGTTCTTTTCTTGAATAAATGTCAGTAAAGATTTTAGCTTTTTTTTTTTTATTCAAATAATTTGATGGTTCTTATTTTATATTTTCTTTTACCGTATATGTTGTTCTGATTCTTTGCTTGTTTCTTCAGCATTATGTATATATGGTATACATAAAATATTTATGTAGTAATATATGTATATGTGTATAATATTTGTTACTAATTTGTCATTCCTTTTTTTGAAGAACATGGAGCAGATGAAGTAAGCGAAAGAAAAGAAAAAGAAATCAGAAACAGAGAAAGAGAAAAAGAAACAAACTTCAAGTTCAGGTATTGGATCACCCATTATTTATTTTCCAAAAATTAATATTTTACACACAGGTGTGTTCACATGTATATATAACTTATATAAGGGTGTAAGTGTACATAGTTTTTATGCTTTTATTTGATTAATTGGAAGAAGAAATTTTAGCTTTTGCAGCTGAATGTCATCTATGCTTCCTTATGCTGATTGAATTTTATATAGAGTATATAGTTAATTCGCCAAGATTCTGGTTTGCTAACTTTGATAGTTTTTTATGAATGAACAGATTTGGAATTGTGGGGTGTGAGGAGTTGGGAGAGGATTGGCTAAAATGAAGAACATTTGTTCTTTTCTTATTGTAATCCTATCGGGTCTTTTTGCTCTTGGGAAAGCAGAAATATACATTGCGACAGTTGAAGGCGAGCCCGTGACAAGTTATAAAGGTGGTATTGATGGTTTTCTAGCCACTGCCGTGGAATCTGATTCTGATGAGAAAATTGATGTCACCAGGTATTTTTAATATTTATTTAAACCTGACTATATATTTATAGAATTGCTCTGAGTTTGTGGTTGATGCCTTTTCTCGTTCAAGTTGTCTTATGGTAATTCTACATGTGCATGCTTGATTTTATATTTAAGCCCTGTTAGATATCCCCAATTTTCCATGGAACTTGGAAATCATTTTTCATTTTCCATCTTTTACATTGTGTGATAGGCAAATTTTTCCTTGGAATTGGTTTTCTCCCCAACCCCCCACGTGACAGCCTTTTCTTGGTTTTCATTGAATTGGTTTTCCCACCACTTTGGTGGGAAAATGGTTTTCCACCTTTTTTTTCATAGCAATGGAAACAAATTCTATCCCTAATTGTAATAAATTCTATCCCTTTAATGGACAATTTCCATGTAAAACAAAGCTAAACGAACACCAAAAGATCCAAAATTTCAATATTTTCCACGTGGAAAATTATACTAATCAAACACAATTAATTCCTAGGAAAACAATTATAGGTAATTCAATTCCCTAAAATTCATTTTCTTTCCCCCCAAATTCTACTATTGCAATCAAACGGATCCTATCAATGGTAGCTTCATTTGTTCACTGTTAGTTAAATTTTATTTATTTATTTATTTTTTTAGTGGTTTGGTGGAACTTGATTGTCAAAGAAAAGCTCAGAGTATGAGAAAACGGGTCTTCTAGTGTTGATATCATCAACATGTCTGTCTTTCATTTAACTTTCACAGGCTAAGCATCATAAGAAGTTGTTTGACCTTAGTTTTAATTTTGTGTTAAGCAATGTTTATTTCTTTATCAATAAAATATTTTGAGAAAATGTTGTAAAGGAAAAAATAAGGCTGATAATTTAAGTTTGTGCAAATTCCAGTGAAATTGAGATTTAGTTTATTACTACATAATGTGTGGTAAAATTGCCTCAATATATTGTATGATATATATCCCCATTTTGGTCTAGAGAAGATTTTATATCGCTTTTGCTTTCAGTTTCTTGGTGAGATATTCTGTTATGATAAGCCCTGTTTCCTATTGACCTTTTATTGGTTTTTGGTGGTTAGTGAATTTCAAGTTTCAACTAAATGCATCATTGTGAAATTGGCACCAAAAATGCACTGTATGATGCGTGTTGCATGCTGTGACAACTGAAGAGTTTCTGTCAAAATAATTTGCTTCATAACCAAACAGCCTAGTCATATGTTTCTGATCGGCAACATAGTATATACCATAAGAATTATGTAAATGCAAATTTGATTTTTGAAATGATTTTCTTTTTGCGAGAAAGAAATGGTTGAAACCTTGATATTTCATGTTGCTTTATGTTTGCAAGTATAGAAATGCACGTCTGTTCAAGTTTGTCTGGAAGGAAATAGAAGATGAACCATGCTATTCAAGTGCAACAATAAAATTTTATGCAAAACAACCTTGTGGCATCACTTTCATGTCCTCTATATATTGGGCCAGCCGTTTCCAAATTATGCGGATTTTGAATTGCTATTAGGTCGCATCGACCGCCTTTGGATTCCTGGTCGTATTCATTTCTGAGCAGAATGTATTAGCTGTCTTTACGAGTACATGTTGTATACTACATGTTAAGGCTTTCCTTGCTTTGTTGTTATTATTACCGCTTTTTAATGAGTCTCTTTTTCTCTGACCTGAGGTTGATTGAGATTCATTTGTCTGATTTTGTGTTCTCCCCTTTTTGCCTCTGCTACAGCGAATTGGTAACATCTTATGCACACCATCTTGAGAAGAAACATGATATGCTTCTTGGAATGTTGTTTGAGCGTGGGACCTACAAGAAGCTCTATAGCTACCGTCATCTTATCAATGGCTTTGCAGTTCACATTTCTCCTGAGCAGGTGATCTGCTATCTTCTTTATTGTGACCTTCAACACTATTCCGCTAGTATTACTTACACAATCAATATATTAGTAGGCAGAAATACTTAGACGAGCACCAGGTGTGAAGTCTGTTGACAGAGATTGGAAGGTGAGGAAACTGACAACCCACACACCCCAGTTTTTGGGGCTTCCAACTGGAGTATGGCCAACAGGAGGTGGCTTTGACAGAGCTGGAGAAGATATTGTGATAGGATTTGTGGATTCCGGTATTTATCCACATCATCCAAGCTTTTCGACTCACAATACTGAGCCCTATGGGCCTGTTCCAAAATACAGAGGAAAATGTGAAGTTGATCCAAACACCAAGAAGGACTACTGTAACGGGAAGATTATTGGAGCTCAACATTTCGCTGAAGCCGCTAAAATGGCTGGCGCGTTTAATGCCGAAATTGATTTTGATTCTCCCCTTGATGGTGATGGACATGGAAGGTTTGAGTTAATTGTTTTTATAATGGAATTTCATCAAATTATTGTGCTCCTTTATTCTTACGTGTCCTCAACACCCCCTTGAGAAGGCAGCTGCGATGAGCAATTATTTGATACTTGAATTCATATTGTGCCACTTTGTTGCAGCGAGTTCTAATTATCACCATATTTCTTCATTCTCCTTGTGCCTTTTCAATCCAACAGCCTGCTACCTACCCCTGTTCTCTTAAAATTTTCATTCGTGTTCTCTGCAAGTTTATACTTGATTTTTGCAAACAGTGGATACCTTTTTGGACAATTTGTTATATGTGCGTATGCATACACGTCTTTGCTTCTGGGTGTAACTTTATCTCTCTTCAATTATCTGTCCATCTATCTTCCTGATATGGTATCATGTTAGCATGCATGTGCTTTCTGATATCCCTCCATGCTTCTTGGTTTTCCTATTATACATCATTTCAATCGACATTGCAATCTATTTACTAATTTTGTGAGAGATTTGTTCCTTGAGAGTGTAATTCATGCATCTGTCCAACGAAGAGCCTGTCCTCGACTCTTTTCACGTGAACCCTGAAAACTTGTCAACCAAAAAACAAGAACTGGTTTTTTTATTGAATATATCATTTTCAACTTTCTCATAACTGAAGAGTCTGACAGGGTGTGCAGGTATAGAAAATGTTATTTTGGACAATATTTTAGAAAGCTCAAATTTTGCATCTTATACAAGGCAACATATGTTTTCACGCAGATGTGGTTTTGACTCAAGAGTCGTCTCTTTTCCTACTGGGATGTACAGCTACTCCATGTTCTCTCATCTCTTACTTTTCCGTAACCTGATCTGTACAGTTCAATTTAATTGTTGTCTCAATGTCTTGATTTCTGTTGTGAACATAAGTTCACGGAGTACTCAGTGCTTCGTAGACAATATTTATGAGAAGAAATAAAAAGAAAGAAAGGCTTCATAAACATTATTTTGAAAGGGATTGAAAAAAAATAAAAAATGAAGACAGCATTTCAGAAAAATAATTTTATCTTGTAGTTTCTGTTCCAGTTCAATCTTATTTTTTACTATAGGTTTCTTAATGTAATTGTTGTCTTTCCTGGAACTTATCTTAGCAATATTTTTTACCAGCCACACAGCGGCTATTGCAGCTGGAAATAATGGAATTCCAGTGAGAATGCATGGATTTGAATTTGGAAGAGCAAGTGGGATGGCACCTCGTGCTAGGCAAGTTGTTGACGGCATTCACTCACGATGTTGTGATGCAAATCTGTTACATCCTGTTTTGTCAATGACAGATATTCTTCCAACGGTTAAAATGTTCATATTTGTTCAGGATTGCTGTCTACAAGGCCCTCTACAGATTATTTGGTGGTTTTGTTGCAGATGTAGTTGCTGCCATTGATCAGGTATTTTGATATGTGAAAACACTGGCATGTAAATATTGGAGGAGATGATGATTTTACCAACCTTGCTGTTTTTCTGCTGAGATTGCATATGGTTTCTTACTGAGACAGCTTACATGAATTATTTTTCGTGGATAAATGTTTGTGTCACCAGCATCGATGAGTTGAGCAATGACAAACGTTAGATTTTGATGAAATTGACATCTAAATATGAGGGACGAATGCGAAACGTATAATTATTTAAAATTTGGGCTTTTAAGGAAAACAACTGTGCATAATGCTCAATAGAGGGGAGGAATAAAATTTTAATATTTGGAGAAATAAAAACAGAAATTTTCAAGTTTTGTGGGGTCAATGGACCATGTGGCTCCGCCAGTGTGTATAGAGCATGGAAATAAGATGACTACAGTATGATTAGATTTCACTCTGTCCAGTGTCCAACATTAGCAACACATTCTGTGTAAATAATGATAGAGACATCATGTACATAAATGTTTTCCAAATAAACTTGATAATAATCATAGGGAAATCTATTTTGCATGTATATATTGGTATCAATGCTCTGAAAAACAGTTGTTTTTGACAGGCTGTTCATGATGGTGTGGACATTCTGAATCTCTCAGTGGGGCCAAACAGTCCTCCAGCAACGACAAAGACAACATTTTTAAACCCTTTCGATGCTACACTTCTTTCAGCTGTGAAAGCTGGAGTTTTTGTTGCACAGGCAGCCGGAAATGGTGGTCCTTTTCCCAAAACCTTGTTGTCGTATAGTCCATGGATAGCATCTGTAGGTGCCGCAGTTGATGATCGGAGATACAAGAACCATCTGACCTTGGGAAATGGGAAAATCTTAGCTGGACTTGGTTTGTCTCGTAAGTTTTATGCAGCTCGTCTCAAGCCATCTGAATTCTTAACCAGCCTTAGGGATACTGCTTGCTCTGTCAAATTTGTTTCATATTTTTCTGTCTGAGGAATAAATATTGGTATTGAAGTTAGAAATGTTACGCTCTTAGTTCTTTTATTTTCTTAAAGCAATCTTGAATGCTGTTTCCTACAATCTTTGATGGATAAATTTCACATTAACTTGCGTCAGATGATTTGCCTCGGTCACAATGGTTTACGTGTTACCTTCTTTATTCATGTGGTTATTAGAGTTATCTATTGATGAGATGCTTACTAGATGAATTTGTGGACTGAAAATGCTGCAATTTAACGATGTGAGATGGGCTTCAAACATACATGAATTACTTCACAAATTTCATTAGGAGGCACATGATGTAATCATTTATTTTCTCAATCGATTTTATATCTTCACAATACCAATTGCCTCTCAATTTGTCTAGTAGAATTCTCAGTGTTTTGCTTAATACAGTCCCTGCTTTTCTTAAGCTTGTGTGTTATTTATGTCTTCCACCCTTCCTGCAGCTGCAACACATGCAAATCGAACATTTACCTTGGTAGCAGCTAATGACGTGATGCTGGATTCTTCAGTTGCGAGGTACAGTCCTGGTGACTGCCAAAAGCCGGAAGTTTTGAACAAGAATTTGGTGGAAGGGAACATTCTCCTTTGTGGCTATTCCTTTAATTTTGTCATTGGTACTGCTTCAATACAGAAAGTCTCACAAACTGCAAAGAGTCTTGGCGCAATTGGTTTCGTTCTAGTAGTGGAAAATGCTTCACCAGGAACAAAATTTGATCCTGTTCCTGTTGGGATTCCTGGAATCCTCATTTCAGATGTTAGCAAGTCCATGGTAAATATTATGCTTCTCTTCTGCTATTTAGAGCATGTTTGGCTAAGTTTCAACAATTTACTTATAAGCGAATAAATTTCAAACTATGGGAAGAAGGGCACTTCCAGGTTTTGGACGTTCTATATAATTAGCTTGATATTCCTTTTTTTGTCAACTTTTTGTTGCTTGTGTTACTGTTGGCTGCCTAAAATGTGCTCCTGAAATATTTCGAAAATGAACTGTGGAATGACTTTGAAAGGGAGTAGTTAGTTTCTTTTCTCGACTTTTGTCTTGTCTCAGTTGCAAGTCGTTGTTGCCACTACATTGTGCATTGTTTGGGGTCTATTTCACTTCAATAAGTTGCTTCCTATAGTTACCATCTTTAATTTTTCTTGGTCTGTTTCATGGTAATCATATTGTAGGAACTCATACACTACTACAATATCTCTACGCCAAGAGATTGGACTGGGCGGGTCAAGAGCTTCAAGGCAGTAGGAAGTATCGGGGACGGTCTGAAGCCTATTCTCCACAAGTCTGCCCCACAAGTAGCATTGTTCTCTGCTCGAGGACCCAATATCAAAGACTACACCTTTGAAGATGCAGATCTCCTGAAACCAGATATTCTTGCTCCTGGTTCTCTAATTTGGGCTGCCTGGGCTCCTAACGGAACGGATGAGGCGAACTATGTTGGTAAAAATACTCATTATACCAATTTAGTCATCTTATTTTATTCAGGAAAGTTGCAGCGGCGGTCCTCAACCTATAGGGCTTGTAGCAACTTGATCCTCACCTTTAAAACGTACTGTTTTGGTGTTCAACCTTTCAATAAACTGATTGAGTACTGGAAAGTGGTAAGCTCCATTTTAAAGATTGAGGACCAAGTTTCTATGAGCGCTCTAGGTTGGAGACCAATGCTCCAATTCTCTCAATTTTCTTTTTCTATGCAAGAGTCTGAATATCACTTGGAGCAGGTGAAGGATTTGCTATGATATCTGGAACTAGCATGGCTGCACCACATATAGCAGGAATAGCAGCTCTCCTGAAGCAGAAGCACCCCCACTGGAGTCCTGCGGCTATCAAATCTGCCTTGATGACTACATCAACTACCCTTGACAGGGCAGAGAGACCACTTCAAGCTCAACGATATTCTGGATCCGATACTCTGGCTCTGGTCCCTGCAACACCTTTTGATTGTGGGAGTGGCCACGTCAGTCCTAGAGCTGCTCTAGATCCTGGACTTGTTTTCGATGCAGGTATCTTAAATCTACTCTCTTGTTCTATGATGTTGATAACAGGAAGCTTGTGCCAGTTAATTTAATGAAGTAACTAATCACTCTAATGGAAATAAAATATTTACTTATTAGGGAATAAGCCCTAACTCCAATCCCGACCACAATAAGAACAAGCAGAAATCAGTTAAACACAAAGTGAATAAACAAATTTATTGTGGTTCATCTTCAATGTGAGAGCTATATCCAATCCCGTTGCAGGTTTTCACTAAAATCGAGAAGAAGAAGTTTACAATAGAGATCACAAACTTCTCTGTCTTTTATCTCTCACTCACAGGAAAACAGTCCCCACAAATTCCCTAGGAAAGCAAGCTAGGCTAAGGCGACCTAAGACAGAGGTGAGCAATATGATAGGCTCCAGCCTGTCCACACAATTCAACATGACTTAGGCTAGTTTCTTATTGAGTCAATATGTAGGACAACTTTTAACCATACAGTCTGGCCCAGGGACTGCTGCTCATCCACTGATTTAAATGCTTAGGTTGTGGTTATCCTATAAAGAGTGATGATTATTCTCATTTTCTGCCATGGTCATATAAACAGAAATTCAGCTTTAGCTTAAAGGAAAATGGTGTTCGGGAAATACTGATGCCATTACTTTCGGGACTAGTTTTATTCGGTGCTTTTCCTTTTTAGTTTAGGAGTTAGTCAATCATTTTGCTTTCCTAGCTGTTTCGTGCTTTAGGGACTGGACAAACTGGACATTCTGGGTTTGTAGTCCATTTCTCCATCCATCAAATTCAATGAACTTTAGTTTGAATAAGTACATCATGACGTTTAGACGAATCCATCAAACCATTAGAATCAT